TATGCTTCTACTGACTCATATACATCAAGCTGATGGAGCAATAATTGATTATATATAACACTGCACTTTCTAGGCAGTATCTAAAGACTCATATATTCCCAATGGAAATGTAGAATATCAATGTCTTCCCACACACAGTTGTCAAAATGAATGCAGTTTCAACATTAATTCAAGTTGAGAATTACTGATGGCATGGATGAGTACAGTGAAAGAATGGAGGGAAGATTCTGTATACAGGAGACTATAGTTTACAAAAACAAATGTGGCTATCAAAGGACAGGGAAATAAAGTATTTAAAATGTTTACCGGAAGTACAAAAGTAAAGATTTTCACGTTCTAAATACAAGGAACTTTGGAAGTAAAACTGGACAAGACCTCTGTCTTGGGCCACATTTACCTGCAAACCAGCCATTTCTTCTTCTTCCTTCTCTTGGCTTCTTTCCGTATCTGACTCAAAAGGCATCAGAACATGTGGGTCTTCATGGGCTTCCTTCTGTAGGCTTGAGAAAGATGCTAGCTTGCATTCAGTGGTCAAGGTCCTTCTTCCCATTTTCATCAACATAATTTTAAATGAGAAAGTATTCAGTGCTTAAATCCAGAAAAATCACTCAAGATCAGTGTTTCTGTCTATATAAGGGAGGAAAAATATTTATGAGGCACTTATATTTTACACCTAAAAAGGAAAAGCAACAGTGCTTATAACTTTCATAAAATAAATACTCATTTGCTTGCTCTTTCCATGAAAACAAACTATTAAGTGAACAATAAATCATATGTGAACTTTTATAGGTTTGCCAGTTCCCTCCCACATGATACAATTAAACATCAATGGTCAAGTAACAGGACAGAGGATCAACTATCAGAAATCTTCAAAGGAAGAACTACTTTATTTGTGAATCATAGTAAATGGACTTTAATCATCATAAGCTATCTACTATATTTCCTTGAGGAAATCTATGTCCATGTTCTGCAAGCCACAGTGGGAAGAGAGATTTTCCCTATTCATTTTTTCTGGTAGCATTATCAAAACAAAGCCATAAAATTCCATTCAGTCACTTGCCAAGTAAAGAATAACCCGTGAAACCCATTCTCATTCTAGGGAAGAAATAAGATTAAGAAATGTTTATTAATAGAATATAAAAGTCAATTTTATTTTTTTGAAGTACACCTTTACTTGCAACTTTGGAACTACTTTCTCATCTTTCAATATCTATGATAAAATACTTATTTACAGTTGGTGAAACACGGAAGAAGAACTTGGTAAAAATATATTTTCAAACCCATGGAAATGGAAGTTTAGAATACAGAAATGTCTTAACAAAGGTTCTTTTGGGGGGGCATCTTTTTGAGATAAGGTCTCCTTATAGCTGCAGCTGGCCTGGATTCGCTAATGGAGACCAGACTGGCCTAGAACTCACAGAGATCCACCTGCCTCTGGATTAAAGGTGTGCACCACCACACCCGGCTCAAAGGTTCATTTTTAAGCTACCTCACCAATGAGACATTCTCTGATGAACATTACTATCCACTGGAATGAATGAAGAGTTCTTACATACCATTCGGGAGATGGGTTTCTGCATCTGTTATAATATTCATACCCTCACAACTCAAGAGTCCAGAGGGGAGATTAATTTCTGCATTTTTTTCATGGACACCAACATTCCATTAGTTAATATTAATATATCTCTAAGAAATGGAAAATTGGACTAGAATGAAAGTCTTACTATTCTGAGGGAGTTACTTATTAAATAAAGGATCAAACAAGATCACTTCTAGTTTCAGGGCAACCAGCCGCTCCTATGGAAAAATGGACACTCCTGAAGTCCTCTTGTAGGAAGAGATGACCAAAGCCTGGTAGACACTATCGATACTGCAAGAGGAATGTCCACTGTGGGCATCTGGTACCAACCCCAGGCAGCTGGAAAACTCTACAACTATTAGGAAAAGATATGATAATGACTTTAGAAATATCACCTTATAATGATTTCAAAGAATAATCTGAACCGAAAGATGGCAGGGATGTTGGAATGTCCTATCATGGGGAAGTATAAAAGTCTGATTTGGTAATGGGGTCAAGTGGAAAAAAATAAAATGCCAGTCAGGTAAGACTAGATCCAACTACAGACTTCCTACTTGAAACTCATGAGCATCTATCATGGTTGAGAGGAATGGCAATAGAGGCGACCAGAGCCAAAAACTCAGACCTCACATCTTTAAGCACACACAGGAAGCAGAGAGAGCAAGCTGGAAGTGGAGCAAGGTTATGAACTCTCAAAGCCAGCCCCCAGTGATGTTCTTCCTCCAGCACGGCCACACCTCCTAAACAATCTATGACTCTACCCAAACAGCACCACCAACCAAACACAACAGCCTATGGGAGACACTTCTCATCCAAACTGAACCCATTTCACTGCTTTCTTGCCCACTCACACATATACAGTGTACACACACACACACACACACACACACACACACACACTAAATAATAAAAAATAAAGTAAAAAAAAAAAAGTATGATAATACTGTCAAGCTGACAGGATCTCAAGTCACCTAGGAGACAAACCTCTAGGAATATCTATGAGGTAGTTCCTAGACTGCACTAGGAAACAGTGCAGTTTGGAAACAGTGCAGTGAAGCTGGAAACCCCATCCTGAATATGAGTGGGTCAATTCCCTGGGCTGAGGTTTCAGACTGAATAAAAAGAAGAAAGTGAGCCGAGTACCAGAAGTCAACTCTCTCTGCTTCCTGACTAAGGATGCAATGTGACCAGCTGCCTCAGGCTCCTGACACCATAACTTCCGTGCCATGGTGAGCTGTACTTCAAACTATCAGTCAAAATAAACTCGTCCCTCCTTAAGCTGCTTTTCTCAAAGCAACAAGAAAAGTAAATAATGCATAAAGTAACATTAATTTACATATATTTTTGAGAAGTTAAAAATAAATTTAGTGTAGCCAAGTACAGTGTCTAAAAAGTTTACAATTGTTTATATTCATTCACCAATGCGTCACTGATTCACAGAGTAACTTAAGAGTATTACAAGCAATTCATGGCAACTGCCTCAGAAGAACTATTCTTAATTTTGTATTTTCATTGTACCTTTTCTATATTTAGATATGTTGACATACACAAATACTATTGTGTGGGAATCGCTTTTCTGGGGTTGCTGTCTGTTAAAATGGGAATTTTACCTAACCTTATAACCAAAATTAATATTGTGTTTAACACTATCTGTCCAATCTACCTTCCTATTGTGCAGATTATTTAACCTAGGTAGCCTTTAGGGAAACAATGTAAATAATCTTTTTAGAAAAAATCTTTTAAAACTTTATGTATAAGTGATGTATGTAATTGCATCACATGTGTGCAATGCCCAAGGATGCCAGAAAAGGGTGTCAGATCCTGGAACTTGAGTTAAGGATGGATGTTAGCTGTCATGTGGGTGCTGGGAACTGAACCCAGGTCCTCTGGAAGAGCAGGCAGTGCTCTTAACTACTGAGCCATCTCTCTAGCCCCATCAATCTTACATGCCATTGGGCTCCTCTTGTAATCAAGTTTTACAAGTGAAGCTAAACACATAGCTTTAATCTTAGATTCTATGTTCTCTATTTCTCTCTCATGATCCTTCCTTGCCCCTGGCCTAGAAGAATGTGTGTGTGTGTGCACGTGCGTGCGCATGTGTGTGCTATGAAAATATCACTGCTGAAGATATCAAAATTGAAAGCAATGAATTATCCCTTGTTTATGTTATAAACAGGTAGAATTGGAGTGGTAACATGTTTGTGGTTTTGTACGCTGTTCTGGGTTGGTTTTCTATGCTTTCGGGGTCAGTAGGGGGTCAGACAAGGAAAATTCTTCCAATATGACAAAGTTCCACATCTTCTTTCCCATGTCATGCTGGTTGTGTACTGTTTAAATAAAACAGTAACCTTTTGTTAGAAGAACAATTCTACGAGAAATCAGAAGGAACATGTTCTGAGAACAGACTGAGCTCAGTCTTGGTTTAAATAACTCTTAAGAGTTGGACGGTCTTTGTTTAGGTACACTGTACTGTGGCATCTCTGTCCCACTGTACTGTATTACAACTGCCTTCAGTAACTTTGACAATATGATGCAAATGTTACAGCATAGGAACAAGAGGTTATATAATGTAGCTTAGGTATGTAGTAGCCTGTCATGTAGATGGGGGTAAATATACCTTCTAATGTATTTCT